CAAAAATATATAGAATCATATTATCTAGAGAACATGAAACTCCATAAACCAAATGGTACATTCAATTATTTCAACATGCAAGGGCAGGACTGCTGTTGCAAAAAGAAACAAGATGTCAAAGTATGTGTTGTAACTCATTACACACCTGACGTAAGAGCTGGAAAACAACAGATCAACTCAAAAAACTTTAGTTTTTTTTTTTTTTTTCTTTCTTTGATCTGTAGTTTAGACTGAACCAAAACAGAAACAAGAGAATTACCTTTTATATTTCTGCAAATAAAGCCACCAATTCAAATAATGCGCAGCCAACTGTTTGGACAAGATGATTGGTGCAAAGATTAAGCTCCATTTTCTTATGCATGCATTTATGTATGCATGACTTAAAAAGCATTTAAAAGCATTACTTGTGCTCCATTGATGTTTAGCATTCTGACATCTGACGGGTTTGAGCCCTTGAAACAGACTTTGAAACTATACTGAATTGTAGCTTTACAAGTTCTGGGTTTCAAAAATGTTTATAGCAGAAACCGAAATTATCATGACATTAACATCCAAAAATTAGTTACTTTTTTTGACGCAACCTCTAAAAATGCAGTCTGGACATGGCCTAAAAACTGCAGCAAGGGTAGAGCTTCTGTTCACTCTGAGTGTTTAGTACATTAGCATGCTAAGGTTAGCTAATGTCTTAACAAATATATTAGGAATATAAGGAATATCTAAGGCTGATGGCACTGCGTTATAGTTTTGGAGGTTTTTGGACTTTGAAAGTCAAGTTGTCATAACAAAGACGTTGGTAGGTTATTTTGTCTTGGTTAATGTCAAGTTCTCATGACAATGTCAACATTACATTTAAGGTGATATAATTGACCAAATGATACTTTTTTTTAAAAGATTTATTTTTGGGCTTTTTGTGCCTTTAATGGAGAGATAGGACAGTGGATAGAGTCAGAAATCAGGGAGAGGGAGTGGGGAATGACATGCGGGAAAGAGGCCACAGGTGGGATGTGAACCCGGGCCGCCTGCTTGAGACGACAGCCTCCATACATGGGGCGCGCACACTAACCACTGCTCCACCAAATGATACCTAATGAAAACATTCCTAAACATTCATAAAGCCTCCTTCATGTTAAAGACAGGTGTCATGTCAGTCATACCTCTAAAGTTTTACAATCCAACTTGAAGGCGAAATAAATACATGAAATCTAATGGAAGTCTCTCCAATAGTTGTTGAGGCATATGAAAAAACCACAAAGGATAAACTTCTAGTGGAACAGGATGAAGAACTGAAGGATCAGCAGAGTTTGACTCATCCTGGTCTATGACAGTCCACATGGTCCTACAGACACCGCCAATCAGGGAGCAGAGCTACTGGATTTGATAAAAACTTATATTCTACTGTGGAGCTTTTGTAAATGTATCTTATAACAGTTATTACTACTCTACTACTGCAGGTTCAGACCACTTAATGTAGGTAATTATGCACCAACTTAAAGTCTGCAGTTCTACGTATGTCTTCTTCACAACTTGTACCTGAAATGTTTGTCTGCTGTTCCCTTCATCATTAAATTAAATTATTTATACTATAAGCTCAGACTCCAACATGACTTACATGCAGCAGCAGTCTCCAAGATTTCCATCAGTCATGAGCAGCTTCAGCTTCTTGTACCCTCTGTCTGTTCAGATAACAGCTAATCCTGAAGACACCACAGCAGGAAATCCAAAATCATTTCACTCTTATCTACTGCAGCACAGAGTTACACAATTTTAGCTTCCAACTTCCAACTAAAACAAGATATTCAAGATAAACCCCTCATTGAGCTGCACTCCTCTTTGAAACGACGCTGTGCCTTTGACTAGACAACAGACTCTTAATTAGAAGTGGACTGAAAATAAAGCAAACACAACAGGAGCTAGAGCACGCTGCCCACGATCTTGTGTATATCACAATTTCAATTTAAGCATTATTATCAATGAATCATGGTGCCCCATTGGCAAAAACACTCATCTGAAATACCAAGAGAGTTAAGTTATTGTCTCAATGTCTGATGTCTACAAAACTCTGCACAGAATAAATTAAATTATGATTGAAATACATTGATTGTTGTAATCATTGTATAAAGCCACACTGACCCAGGGCTGACCCTTGAAAGTCAGTGATTCAATTCATGTCTAAACAATCAGAGCTGACATTTTCTGTTAATCGAACCTGTTAACTTTAAGTCACATCCTTGCACAAAAAGCTCATGACCAGCATGCAAGCCGTTTGCATTTCTGCTGACTGACAGGCTGTTAAATCTTAACAAATAGGGGGAAAATGTCCTCATTGTATCATCATTATCTACCTCAATTGGATCAGGATCTCATATCAAGATTGTTGAACTGCCCAAGAGGACAAGCTGAGGCTGTATATCATGGACAGAAAATTGGACAATTTGTCACAGAGTCTATAAAGAAGCAGCCTTTTTATTCCCAACAGTAAAAGAAAGTGTTGTGAAAATTAAATTGAGTTCAGTAAAACACAACAAAGCAGAGACAAACAGGCTTAGTTCTTCTTCGGAGAAGGATAAAAAACTAGAGAGAGCAGTGGAGAGCTGGATCAAAATAACAAGCACAGGCATGCTAGGGGTACAAGAACAGTTGTATAAATGCAGATAAGATTCTAGTGTTTGTTTTCAGACACTCTCTCACACACAAAGCCAACTGGTGCAGGTATATCCCCCCCCCCGCAGTAAAACACGCTGCACTGAACCGTGACCCTCTACAGCGAAATACATAATGAAGCATGGCTTGTAAACTCTGCCACCCCTATCGCAGAGGAGCACACATGTAACACGTTTCAAAGATGTGTTGCTTCAACTAATGAGTCACCCTGACCGAGAAGTGTACACAAGGGAGATGATTGGAAAACACTTTGCTTTCCTGAGAAAACTGAGCCCCCAGTGCCTTTCAGCAAGGCATTAACTCCACAGTCTGGACATGGGATAGCATATGCTGTAGATTTAGCACAGATACAGATCATGTGTATGTGTATATCCCTCCTTGTTTGTAGTTGGTTTGCCTTGTTAAATAAGGATTAAAGGCGACCATGCATATCTGATTAAATGGTAATCTAATATAGAGGGTCAAGCCGAGGACCAGAGGATCTGCAGTTCAAATAACATGAGAGGCAGAGGGCAGCTTTGAGACACTCTCTCATGGATCACACATCATTTACCATTCAAACATTTCTCATCAAATCTTTTTAAAGAGAATTCATAATGGAAAACAAGTAGACCAACTCTTTTCTGATAGAAGCTGTAGACTCACAACAGTATCCTCCAGTGACACATGGTGGCACTTCATTGGTTGCTAATATCGGGATATTTTAAAGGGTAATACAGGTCTCTGAAAATGAACAAACTGGAACCAATCATTGATTCAAGTTTAAAAAAAATCCTAAATTGACCTTTTTAAATTGCTTCTTTTGTCACCGTAACAGCTTAAATACCAAAGATCCTTCAGTTATTGATATAAATTTAAATCACTCGTCTGTACAAATCTGAAACTCTTGCAATTAATTTACTTCCATTAACTCATTGTTCAATTGAACTTTCATGCAGATCAAAACCAGACTCAGTTAAAAAATCTAGCAGGTTTGGGCGCTAGTGGACTTGTGGATGTTTGTGTGCCCCATGTACAGAGGCTACAGACCTCAAAACATGCAGCCTGGGTTCAAATCCGATCTGTGACTCTATCCAATGTCCTATCTCTTGGATAAAAGGCATAAAGGCTAAAACATTATTTCTAAATAAACTGGCAGATTTGGGTTTTATCAGTTTTATTGGCAACATAGATAGCCAAAAAAGATACATCATAATCTTTTACGTTGGGTACAGTCTCTATAACAACTTTATCATCTGATTCAGCAAGCTGTACGTGAACGGTGTCAATGTTTTAACTGTAAATGTGTTGTTTGTGTGTCCTCTATATTAGTTGGCCAGTTGTCCATCCAATCACAACAACAGATTAAAGACTAACAACTGAAAGTACAGATGTCTAATGTTTGCTCTCAGAGTAGCGTCAAACTCAAAGCAGCGTTAAATTGCCCTATTTTTGAACGGGGTTCTGCATACAGTTCTCTTATGGGGGGGGGGGTTAGCAAACAACATCCAAGCTATGACTCACTGGGGGAGGCTGCACATGTTTGACATCTGACTAATAAAAAACAACTGAATTTTTAATTGCAGAGTATAAAAATTAGTTAGAAATTAATTTGTTTATTTTTTCACAAATCACTGAATGCTTCGGCTCTGACAAGCACGGTTAAAAATCTAACAGGCCAATGTTTTCTTCATTGCATGGTCACAGTGAACTGAGGGGCTATAATAACTTTTTAAACATGGATTGGTCTCTAAATTAATGTTGCAATACATGATCTATCCACATTAAGTTGGCTGTATTGTACAGAACAAAAAAGTAATAACTCCTGAATTAATAATAATAATTTATATAGCGTCTTTAAAAAACAGATGTTTACAAAGCCAGACAAAGCAAAGGCAGGAACTCAGGAATATAACATGATAAGAATCAGAACTCAGGTCAAACAATATAGTGAGTAATACCATAGCATAGCATGAAATACCATGTATGCTGTAGGGGAGAGCTGAGGTTGAAGTGTTAAATTTCACTATTAAGTGGTTCTGACTACAATTCACTCATGGAGGGGGAAGGGGGGGGGTGCCATAAATGATTTATATTTTTGTTCTGAAGTGACTGAAATGTCAAAATGGTTAGGCAGCTCTTCACCAAACTTTGTTAAAAAAAAGAAAGTAGCAGATTTATGTTTTCTGTGTGAACGTTCACAAGCTTCATTTTGGATACAGTCTCCTGCTCATTGTTGCATCATCACACACACACACACACACACACACACACACACACACACACACACACACACACACACACACACACACACACACACACACACACACACGTTAGCATCATCGTGCTAACTTCTGTACCTGTGTTAGTGGTCGACGCTGTGGTCGGTGGTCGCTGAGATGAGCTTAGCTTTCTCTGTCTCCGTCTGCCGCTCCACCGCTGTTCAATCCCCTCCTCATCACAGCTTAAGCCAGCTGACTTAAACACGTCAGACTGGAAGAATTTGATAATATTTTTCAAACACTCTCCTCCGAGCTGAAGAAATAAAAAACGCGGCAGTGGTATTCACAGTGAGGTTAACCCCAAACAAAAACGACTCCCCCAGGACAACACGGCTACAGTCAGCGCTCACTCAGTTGGTCTCCTCTTCTCTTCTGGAGGGTAAAATAAAAACTATTATCGTCTTTAAACTGTAGTGTCGTCTCTTCCCGAACAACAGTCACACTATTTCCTCCTTCTCTTCAGTCACAGGACGGTTTTTCCAGGTTAAACTTGTGGAGGGGTTCACCGGCGTGGAGAGCACACCACGGAGTGATTCCTGACTGGAGCAGAGGAGCAGCGCTATCTCTGCGCTGCGTTCACGGACTGTCGGAGAAATACACTACACCAAAAAAATAGGATAGAAAAAGAAGCTGTTCGTTATCAAAGTCTTGGCAAAGAGAGACCCTTTGTCCGATTTTGTCCAATTTACATGAATGTTTTTACATATATATGTTTTTTTTATGTTTTCCCTCTGAGTTTATTTCCTTTGTACTTGAGATTATTATTTAAATCTCTTCTTCATAGATGGTAAAATGTCTGTTTCATTGGTATTGTAAAATTTTGATTGTTGTTAATGTAGCCTACATGAAGTTTTACACGAACATGGCAAAGAGAGATGAGTGTTTTATTGATTTTTCACATGAAGAAAGACAACAAAAATCTCATCCTCTTTTCTTTTAATAGCCAAATGTATCACTCATTCAGAATATTTGCTGTGGAAATTGTAAACGGAGGCTGTTTTGGCAGCTTGCCATTAATCAGCTCATGTGACACCCGGCAGCAGAGGTTTCAGGGATTAAAAATAACCACACATAATTAATCATTCTAGTCGATTATGGTCTTGTTTGGTTTTGTAGCTCTTAGAGAGGCTTCACTTATTGTTTCAGTCAGCTTCATATCCGGCTAAAAACTCCTCATAGGAGCTTTAAATCGATTAAAAAGCTGTGATTGCAAACTGAAATCCAAAGAGTTGAGAAATATTTAACCCTAACAATAGAGGGAGAAATATATGCATCCAGAAATTTTTCATTACAGTAAAAAAGTAATTTAGTCAAATGTAGAATATCTGAAATATTAGCTTCAGTCTATCTGAAATGTAAGCATACTTTGCGGGGAGGTAAAGGTGTGAATGTGCATTTCAGAGAAAAGAGTAGTAGATGTACAGTTACATTATAGAGAGCTGTTAGGGTGCTAATACAGCGATCAGATGTATCCAATCTGATCCTTAGAAGGGTCTTAGAAGTTTATAAAATCATGACCACTATAAAAGAGACCGTAACAGTTTCTATGTGGAGTAAACCGTTCAATGACTAACAGCATTCACATAAATGTACCTTGTGTTGTTCAGTTAATAGCCATGCATTAAGTTGAAAGTAGGAACAGAGGAGGTGCACCTAAAGGCAGCACGGAGGCAGCAAAGTGCACCCAAGAGCCCATTTGTGTTATAGGAGGCTGATCCATCACAACAATAAGGCTTCAGTCTGCTGCATTAAGAGGAGGACACTTAATAAAACTGTCAAGGCAGAGCAAGAGGACTGTGAATGAAGATTTAGTTTTCAAAAGCAAACTTTCCAATCAAGTAAGGTCATTTTAGAAATTAGCAAACCAATACTGACGTTCACCCTCTGGCTCTTTTAGTATGAAGGTTATAGCCCTTTTTATACCCCCAGGTCATTCAACGTTAACGTCTATCTCAGCTAGTCTCACCTCACCTTACATTTCAACAAGCTTCAGGGTGGACTTCAATTTCAAACAATTTGCATTGTGTCGAATATGGCTGTCGATATTGTTGTGTACCTTTCCTTTTTTACACTTTCTTCTGTTTTTCTTGATTATTTATTGACACAGACATACACTAAAATGATTCAAATGCAGACTCCAAGGGATGGAGTGCAAAAGCAGGTTTATTGAGCAAACAAACCCAAAGGAGCAGGCAAAGTCATATACACTAGAAAACACACTGAGGAGACATTAGGAGCAGGACCTGGAAGACAGAAACAAGGGAAAGTAAAAAAATAAAACAGGAAATGATACTAATGAAAAAATAACAATAAAAGCATCAGAGAAAACACTTAACGTCTGGATGGAGTGTCATTTATCTGCTTTAGTTTTGACGACATATTAGAAATGAAAATATCAGTAATTGCTTTATAACCGTGTTGTATGTTACTCACATGCTTTGATACACATTCCACATAAATGTTCATCGCTCTCTTTTGGAAAGTCGAAGGAACATCGTCATCATGTCTGCTCTTTTTCAGCGTAAAGATGACGTGTACGAGAAAGGGTTAAGAGAAGAATCCACAGCTGCTGCCCTCAGGCTGTGTGAGTTCATCTGAACAGCTGAAACAACGTGCACACTTGAGATGAATGACTGTTATGATCCATGAGAGGATAAAGAGTAATAAGAAGTTTTTACTTTAGACTTTATGAGGTAACACCCCCCTGTCATGTAAAGAGAGGAGCACTCTCAGATGGAGATTAAAGGCTAAGTGTCAGTAATTATTCTGAAGTTTTCAAACAAAGGACAGTTCACGCTCAGGACTTGACATCTGGAGATTTTCTATAATTCTACAATTCACTTAGCAGACGCTTTTATCCAAAGTGACAGAGAGTAAGAACAACACACAAGCAAGGATCTAGAGAGGAGGAAACAGCGTCAGTTCATGCAAACAAACAGCTTTAAGTCTGATCGGACACACAGGTGCTGACAGGAGGTGCACAGAGGCAGAGCACTTTCTTCTTCTTCATAAAAACATGATTGATATATGGTCATGAACAACAACGTCGACAGCAGTTCTTGAATGTTCTAATAAGCATCAAAACCATCCTAAAGGTCACCATTGTCTTCAGCGTCATCAAAATCTAAACCATCATCATCATCATAATTAATATAATTAAGTGCTTAGGTGTTGGTGGGGGGGTGTAGATCTGGATGAGAGTTTTAGGTAAGCTGTTGTTTTGTAAGCCAGTGGAGGGAGATGATCAGCGGAGTGACATGTGCTCTTTTGGGTAAGTTGAAGACAACTCACGCTGCCCTTTAGACCATCTGCAGAGGATTGATAGTGCATGTTGAAAAACCTGCCAGTAGGGAGTTGCAGTAGTTATAAAAAAACAGAGAAATGCGAGGAATTATCTGGAACAGGCTCGTTTAAAAGGATTTACACAAACTGTTAACACAGCACTGACTCTGATCAAATTAAGGCTGAATTCAGAAGACAACATCAGAACCACTTTATTAGTCAAACTTTTCCAGTTCGGGTTCGCGGGGGGGGGGGGCTGGAGGTGATCCCAGCTGTAACTGGGCGAGAGGCGGGGTTACACCCTGGACTGAACGCCAGTCAATAACAGGGCTGACATACAGAGACAGACAAGCAGCCACACTCACATTCACACCTACAGACAATTTTTTAGAGTCTCCAATTAACCTAACAAGCATGTCTTTAGACTGTGGGAGGAAACCCTCATATGCACTGGGACAACGTGCAAACTAAAAAAAGTAAACATTATATGAAAAATAAACCAAAAAGTTTGGTGTTGGAAAAGGATCTCATTCTGGACTGCTTGTCATACTGCAGAGTTTGAATCTGTTTCCAGTTTATATCCAGGTTACCAGTTCCATTGCCTCTTGAACATGGTTAAGCATTTAATGTTAATTTTCCATTGCACAGGAAAAAAAAGATTTCTAACTGACTGTGACAGATGTGTAAGCAGACAACAGATCTTTCTATCTGTATTCAGTCAGCGACTCTGATGCTTCAGCAGCACACTTTAACACAGCCAACATGTTCTCTAAGAGGTGGGCAAGATGCATCCCATAATATCACACCACAAAACAATGACTGAGGAATATATTCAGATACTAGAGCTTCCCTTCCAGTGTAATACAATACACTGAGTGAAGGATTAGTTACAGTATCGGTTCTCTGCAAATGATTCTATATTTCATCCTGACAACACATTTCACAGATTTATTGAAGAGTTTCACTTTGTATAAATGTTTAAACAGCCCTCTTTACTCATAATCTATTATACCCTTACAGTGATGTAGATTAAATGTGACTTTTACTAACACAAATCATGTTAGTCTTTAAACCATAAATGTGATGCAGACCTGCCACCTAGTGGACACATCAGCTCCACACAGTCAGAATGACTGAGGATGTATAACCATACAGCTTGCATTTAGTGGAGTGTTGATGCATGTGAAGTAAAAAAATCTATTTGAAAAATAACGACCCCATACAGTTATGTTATCTCTTGAAGACATAAAAAGGTTGATCAACTATATTAGCATGTTTTTTTTCCCCCATGGATTAAATAATGTAGCCCATAAACTCTTGTAAGTGCTTACGTATCGAACTTTGTTGCCTGAAAGTTCACTTGCAGTTTACTCTGCATGACAAGTTTTTTTTTTAAATTGTATATGTATTGACTCAGACTATAACAGAATCTGAGAAAGTGTTTATCATGAACAGAGACACTACACATGCAGGAACAAACATAAGCTTTTCACAGAGGTATCTGAGGCTATGGCTCCTGTACAAGTCAGAGTCATTCTTTATCATACTGTAAGTAAGGACGAAATAAATCCTCAGGTGTTAAAAAAAAAAAAGGATTACTGGTTGGGCTTTTTTTTTTTTTTTTTTTTTTTTTTTAATAGGACAGTAGATAGAGTAGGAAATCAGGAGAGAGAGACAGGAATCATATGTAGGAAAAGGAGCCGCTTGATAGGCTTGAACCCGGGCCGCTTGGAGGACTACAGCCTCTGAACATGGGACGGCCACCCGCCCAATCAATCTCTACACCGTCAGCAATCCCCTCTGACAGTACGGGCTTGAGATAGCTAAAAAAAAAAAAACGAGGGCGGTTTACCATACTTTACAATTTAAGATACTGATTACGATGAATAAATCTGATCAGAAATGTTAATAAACCTGAAAAAGACATTATTGCAAGATTTGTGCACACAAGTTGATAACTAGCATGCAAAGAAAAACACATTTTTTGCTTCACTTGTTGTGCAAGTTAACTTTTTTTTTTACTTTTTGGACTTCAGGAGTTCTGAAAAAAAATAATGAAACTGTAGGAATAAATTATTCCTTTTAACTGAGTTAACAAAATCAGCTGTTCAAACCCTTTCAAAATAAAAGAAGAAGAAAAAAGAAAAGCTGTTTAGTTTTATGTCTCTCCTTTACTTGTGCCTGAAACAGTCGACGTGTTTCTCAGGAGAAGTGTCACCTTTACTTTGTACAAACTATTCAATGAACACAGACAACATTTGCCATTCAGTTACTCCCTTTTAATTCAAAATAAAACAGGAATATAAAATGATTAAAATCAACATTTATAGACAGAAAAGTAAAGATATGACAAAACATCAATGAAAGAGAAGGGTAGCATTTACATTGTGCATTTACACTGTACAGTTCATTAATTGGTTCCTATCATCAGCTCGGGTCGCTCTCCTTTAGCCTACACACTCTTAGTTTAGCTACTGCGTGTACCAGTACTGGCAAATGTAATCACAGACACAGGACAAAACAAAAACACAAATCTAAATGATATGCTCTAAAGATTACTTGAATGTCTGATTTTATTCAACAGATTTATATTTGAATTAACGTAGGTAACTGCTAAAATAAAGGACACAGAGTTAGGCAGTGAAAAAATAAAGAATACCTTTTAAACAAATCAGAGACCTTTAAAAAACATATAAAGGGGGGCGGGGGGCGGAGGGGGGGCGAATAAGGTCAGGTCAGGTTAGGTGGGGGTAGGTTAGCAAATGTAGCGCACAAAATTGTCCAGATAGATCACGAGCCATGTCGCTTTAGCAAAAATAGAACCAATGAAAGAGTTGTTTAAACAAGTGGCATGTCTCACAAAACCTGTTTATCTTTTATTTATAAGTTTACTGTAGAAAAGGCTTTTTCATTAGCTACAGGTTGATTTTTACAACAAAGAGCGGGTCTCTGCATCATCATTATATTTTCGACGAGAAAGTAAAAGCAAGGTGTCAGTTTTGAGAAAAAACCTTCCATAAAAAGTGAGTTCTGAATCAACCACATTTTTCTGAATGGTCGTTCAGACAGAAATAGAAAGAAATACTCCACAGCTTGACAAACTGCATGTTAGCTGTAAGCTAGCTATTAACAGACCCCATGAGAAGAAAAACATGCTGCAACTTCTGGTGCTGAAAATTGAAGCTGGTGCGAAAGAACTGCAGTGCCTCCAGTGTCCACTTGAGGCTGGCTCCAAAAGCCAAGAAATCCCCATTAACACCCATATCAAAACGCCCATCTTTACAGCAGAAATAAACATGTTTACAGCCCTGTACAAAAAATGATTTGGGTCTCAATAGCTAATTTTTTTATTGGTCAAAACTGTTAAAGGGTTGACATTTTTTTGTTACCTGTTTGTTTAGATTAAGTTAAGGCTAAGAGTTATACATACATTTGAATAAGAAGTAGGGGCATGACTGGGATGGCAAACAGGTGGGCACATTGTAGCCATTTGCCAGAAGGCTGCCTCAACTTCACCCAAGTTGGCTGAAAGTTAGTTGACATCACTGAGACTACGTCCATGTTTTATACAGTCTAAGAAGTTACTCAACAGTCGTTCACTCATTGCTAACTCAAACTCCAATAAAATGTGATATGGGCTTTGTAAAAAGGATTTAGCGGTTATTTCATGCAAGAAAAAATACAATTTGAAAGAGATAGATCTGTGAGGGCATATATATAAGATTCCCCACCCTTAATAGTTTGAGTCCCTTGATGGAAACCAGGTTTCAGTTCATGAGGAAGAAGAAAGAACTATGACATAAAAGAAAACTTGGTCCTTCTTTAAGTCAGGCACCGTGAATCAGTGTCTTTTCTCAGATCTGTACTAGTTAGGCAGCTGTTTTCTTTATTTGAGCAGTTACCTGAACAGCAGTCTGCGGACAGTGCACGTTTTAAACAGCACATGAAAACAAAAACTAAGTCCCAACGCTGCCAGAAAAGTACAGAATATAAAACTGTCTAAAAGTTTAACATGATGCACAGTGATAAGAGTTTGTAGCGTAGCACAGCGTTAGCTCGTTAAGCAATAAAAGTTAGAGCTGGGGCGAGTATTGAGGACAGGCGGAGAGCTGTTTCAGTTCAGTGCTGCACACATCTCACTCTGAAGTGTGCTCATCAGGAGAGAAGTTCAAAAGGAAACAAAAGCTAAGAAGTAATGGCACTCAATATCTATTTTGTAAGGTTAGAAACAACAAAAAAAGCTGGTTAATTAACAAAGATACTCAGGTTAAAGTTAATAGGGCTGAGTACACTTTCTTACATTCATTTTTTCACAATAAAATTATTTGACACTACTTTTTTTTTTACAATCAACCCAATATAGTAATTTATTCAAAGTGACTGAAGTGGAGAAATTAATGAGCACAGTCTGAATCAGATGTAAGGGGGGGGGGGGGGGCAGTATACTGTAGCACTAGTTCTCCATATTGCACTGACAGAATTTGGCAATAAATCCTTTAGGCACAAATCTAACTAACCAAACAGGGCAGTCAGTCACAGCAGCCTAACAAGAGGAGGGACTGAAGCTCTTCTCATTACTCTTCTTGTGCATCTTTGATTTCTTTTATCCCACATGGGATGCAAGCAGAGGAGGAGACACGAGGAGAGAGGAGTCGACGTAAGGATGATGAGAATTAAGGAAATGAGACATCCCAAAGTGGCACAGCTGCATCATGAGTCTGCTGTTTTACAGCCTCATGCTGTATTTACAGACCTGTGTCAAATATTTGTGACTTCTCTTCTTCACATGAAACAGTCAGTGAGCTATGATGGATGAAGCAAATAAGAGAAGCAAATCTTTTTTTGCTGTCTTTTATTCTTATGTGGCTTTTAATTTATTTACTTATTTATTTTGAAGGATCATAAGCTGTCAGGGCACTGTACACTGTTCCCTTTAATATACAGTATATCTCAAATAAATGTAATTGAACTCAACAGGCTTTGATTGGTTCATAAGGAAATAATACAAGCATGTGGATATTCAGTACAACAGCCTGATGTAGCATGTGATGGTTCAAACTCAAAGCATTAAGGAAGTGCAGATTATTGTTAGTTTGAGTTTATTAAATTCATTCATTAGGGCTAGGCTTGTTAAATTAGACCGTCTGCTGTAATATTTATGAACTGTATTCACAAACCCTTGCATGTGAAACACCCGGCACGTTGTGAAAAAGTCACAGTGATGGTATACTCTACATCAGCACTCCTGGAAAGTTGGATTATAGCTGTGTGTTGTGTGTCTCATAAGACTCGGGCGATAGATGCCCCTGTGCGTCCTCACATTGAGCTCCTCCACCAAGCTTCAACTGTTCTCCCTGCTTGCTCCCCCAAATGAAAAATAAGAGTTGAGATATTGTAAAAATGGCCGACTGAGATCAATTTCCAATCAAAGTGAGGAGGATTTGTGAAGACAAGGTGTCACATAACAGAGAAATGAGAAGAGCTGTATGTCGCCTTTGTCACTGAACACCGGTGTAATACTGTCTGCACAAGATAGGAAGTGATATTTTATTTATTACTCCTCTATCGAGCCCTGCACAGAGCTCATGAGCAGCACTGAGAGCAGAAGAAGCAGAATGAGATCATAGTGCAAATAAGAAAGCAGGGCTTCCAACTATCACAGAGGAAACATAGACGGAGGAAAATCCCACAGCGCTCGAACGTGCCACTTTTGTTTTAGCAGCGGTGGCAACACCAGACAGAGCCACGACCAAATGATGCAACAAACGTGTCAAATGTTGGATTAAAAAATGGACATTTCTTAGAAAATAAATACTCTACAGTCATGCTTATTTCTGATGGAATGTATGAAAATATGTTAAGCATAGTTTTATCAAACATGTCAAGCTTTTTCTTCAATTAAGAACATTTTCAAAAGTTATTTCATGTCCTTTTTTTTTTTAGAGTCATTGCTCTCTTTTTTTAAAGAAATTAAAAATCAGACTGAATTAAAGGAGAAGTTTCTCAGCAGTGAGCGACAGCAAATTATCTTAAAGTAGTTAATGTCATAATGTCACATTCTCTTGAGGACGAATAAAAAGGACAAACTGTAAGATCCCTGACTGTCAATAAGAAGTGGATGTAGTCTCCAGCTCTGAGAAGTAAAGCCAACGAGGAAGTGCCTTAAACCTGCGACGTCAGAGCAACCATACTGCCCCCACAAGAAAAGCTCAGCTTATGCACGGTTCACATCCTGCCGCAGGGCGCAGAAAATCTAGAGAAAGGAGGAAACTCGCTAGTTTTTAAAGCAAGCTCGACTGAACAGATCAGCAGAAATGAACATAGACGTGATAGTTTCTATATTAGTAGAATATTTCACTGACAGAGAAAATAAAAATCATCTTATTTGATCTCAAACTCATTTGATCTGTTTCTGATTTCTGTCTAAACTGCAAAAGAATGAATTCTACATCAAACAGGATAAACTAAACTACACCCTCTGATGTTTAAACAACAGTGCAGATGGATGTTTGGGGTCTTGAAGAAGTTTGTTGACGTCTGTGGGAGAAATTGTGTTATTGTTCAAATTTGTGAAAGGTTGCGAAGATTAGCCAGAATGTCATTGGTTGAGTTTGAAAGAATTGGATGAATCATCACTTCATGAATGGACCGTCTAAATCAAACCGAGGACTCTTACAGTAGTAGTAAGGAACGCAAATTAATCTTTAAAAAATAAAACCTGATTACTAAATTTGAGGTAACTGCAATGATCTTTCAGTTAGTGTGGATATTGGCGCCCCCTGTGGTCAAATATGTAATGTGAAGTCTCCTCTCCACTTTGTGATAAATTTTTGAATTGGCAACACAACTATGTGTGTGTGTGTATGTGTGTGTGGTTCATGTGTCCATTAGAACGTAAACATGTTCCTGATGAGTCTATGTGTAGTTTTTAAATCTTCTTCAATACTGCTTGATGTTCTTTTTGTCAATAATTATTCCTTTAAAAAGCAAGAGAAGTTCTGTGCCCTCATAAAAGTCGCTTGAAAAGTGTCATCCCATTTAAAATCCCAGCTATTAAGGATTATGGATTCACCTATCTTACAAGAGTTATGCGTTAGCTCATCACTTAGCGCTTGTTAATCCCTTCTTCATCTCCTGCTCCCACCCTCTCGTCTAAATATGGTCACGTCTGGCTGCAGACATTAAAGGTGGAAAAGGCCAAAATGTGAAGAAATCCACTAAATCCACTTCTTATAAACAGTCCATGAGATTTTTTTTTTTAGTTTTAACACTTTTGTTTTCAGAAACATAACGCATGACTATAGGTTCAGCATGGCCCTAATTCCCTGCAGAGAGAGAAGTTTGAAGGAAAAGTTTTCCCAGCACACACTGCACACTCGTACACAGATGTGAATTCATCATATTGGTCAAATGGTATTTTCAAATGATGTTTAAGTGCATCTGACGGGCGGAGTTTGCCACACCGGACTCTAAAACAAAATCAAGTCAAGCACTTTAAAGTCAATTCTGTGCGGTCTTTTTTTCATGAGAAATAGTCGTGGTGTGGTTAACTCCACCCAGCTGGTACTCCAAGGTAGGTAAAACAAACACTTAGAAAACTTTAGTCTGAGCCTGGTAGGACTGTTTGTTCCCTTCACAGACACACACACACACACACACACACACACACTCACACAGACACAAACATCCTTAAAAACACTGCAGCTCATTCTATCTAGATGCAAACAAGTGATATCCACATTCAGACATTTGCTGATATTTCTGCGCTGTGTTCGCTCACACACACACACACACACACACACTCACAAACAGGTGAAGTGTGGGCGGGGCTCTAGCTGTCCTCCTCACTGTTCTGGTTGGTGGTCCTCTCAGGATTTGATGAGCCCTCGAAGCGCTGGGAGGCGATGGCGGCTTGGTGAGACATACTCTTCCTCACTATGTCTCCTTTTCTCCACAGGGTGATCTCCTGCAACAAAACAACACAAACACCAGTGAAGAACAGTTTGGTTCAGAGAGAGGACTGTGCAACTCCAGCGTCAGAATATCGATCTATAAATGAACAAATGTAAAGCTCGGACAGTTTGTTTACATGTCCTACCTCTCTTGCTTCAGCAATGCCATAACACAATGTGAAACCACAGACTGGAACACCAATATTAAGCCACTGTGGATTTAATGTAAAAAGACGTAATGACAGTGTAGCTCTGTTATGGCATGGTTGAAGATTTGCACTATTAAAAGGGCTCTGAGGAGGTTCTACAATCCTGGTTCTACAGGCAGAGGGGCCTGACAAGTTTAATTCAAGCTGAAGTTAAACTCAAATCCTTAATTCTGTTAAATACGTGGGGCGCTGGTGGTGCAGTGGTTAGTGCGCACTAGGCATGCAACAATTGTCAATAAAACATTGAACCGTTCGGTACGGCATCCACGGTTCAATACTGACTTATGAATTGCGGTTTTAAGGTTTGGCGTTTAACGAGTTTCCGCTCATTGTATTTCTCTCTAAATTGGCTCTGTCTGTGTGTGCCTGTGAGTCAGCACGCAGGGATGAGGAAACCCCTCGCCAAGTGAGTTAATAGCCAATCACTATGCGCTAAAGTTCTGTGACGCTGACAACAACATTACTTTTAGCATGGCAAGCAGTGAGGAGCAGCCAGGCCCGGAGTGGCTACAGGTAATTGGGAGAACCGGGACAATTCCCGGTGGGCCAGGCTGCCTGAAGGGCCGCCAGGGCCGGTACAGTGACAGTCTATAGATCATACATGCTGCAGTCATTGCTCAAGTAGTGTCTCACTACAGACCAGTTTCTGATAGTGTGGGGCGAGCGTGTGCGCCTGGAAAACATGTAGGCCTACTGCGCAGTGTTTCCCACTCGTCCAGGTATATTAACGGCCGCAAACGCCCTTTTTTCAAAAGCCTCTCTCCCTCATTATGTCAAAAACATGCATTCAAAGATAACTGAGGGTCCACAAACGTGAGAGGGAGAGAGACCTATACTGGTGAGCGAGAGTCGGGGAACGTGCCATTACGCATATAAGTGGGCGGACAAGAAACAAAAAGTGAAATTGATCATCTGTGTGTGAACTACATGGCAGGCTGCTGCCCTTATTAAAAACTCTAAACTGGTCATAAAACACTTCTGAACCTTCAGTTTGAGGTTTGATGTCTTTTGAAATGTTCTTCAATCGTTTGAGCTGCTGTTAATACTCTAAATATTTACAATACTAAACATTAAAGAATAAGAGAGGAGCAATAATCATAACTAAAAGAGAAATATGACAGCATGCCACCGATGCACTTTTTTGTTGACATTCATTGAGCTAATTGTAGTTCAAATCTAATCTGACCTTTGCAGTAGGCTGAAAGGAGAGCATCTGAATTTGCTTTGCTTCAAATTAAAATAAATAGTTTTAAAATGAAAAAAGTAGCTCTCTTTCTAAATCCCTTGATGTTCTGTAAAATTTGCCTAAAACACTTAACACTAAAAACACTCGGCTGCTATAGGGGTTTATCCCGAAAAAGAAAAACAAAACAACAACAACAGTCAATCCCTTATGTTCAGGAGCCAATACGAATTGACTGATTGAAGTTTTCACTTCAGTGTTGAAGGTGAATACAGCACCTTTATTCCACTGCACTATTCTGTTTAAAAGGTGCAAAGACTGAATGGGGGTGTGGCGGGTGCTAATAATGAAGCAGTGGAGGTTGTAACAGAGCCGGATCAACATCTGAGTGTACGGGGGAAACCGCAGGATTGGATCGTTCACTTTGAGGGATGAATGTGAGGATTGCAGAGTGATTGCACTCTGGGTTTGCACCTTCATTGTGTGCCTGGCATGCTCTGTAAAATCCTTAACTGTGGCAGTAGCATGCCAGTGTTGTTTTATTCAGTGAAGGGAAAGAAAGGCAGAGAAATAGCCAACCTAATTTATGACTTTTTTGCAGATTCCCTTCATAACAAGGACTACAGTTAAGTTCTGAACAAACATGAAGCTCTCATGCAGCATGTGTACCTGCTGTTTGAAGTAACGTCTTTCCTCCTCGTCGATGAGGACCAGGTTGAGGTAGTACCGCACTGAGAACTTCTTGTTGATGTCCCTCATGGTCGGCGTCATCTCATAGCCGGCTAGAAACAACCTGATGGGGATTGACTCTCCTGAAGAACAGGACAGGGTGAGGATTACGGTCAGGACAGAAACACAGCAGATTACCCTCTAAAAACAGTGAAAGGCTTCAAGGTTTCTTACCTCTGACCGGTGCTCCATCCATGATCTCATACTTTGCTATGGTGTCATTCTCGTGGTAGACGTTTGGCCCTGTTCCTGTCGTCTCTCTCTTTATGATGTCGATCTCCATGTGTCTGATCTTAATCCTCACCAGCAGAAAATAAATCTTTCCGACAATGACGTCTTTTAGGTGATACCTGCAAGAGAGCAATGTCATCTGTTGAACACAAACACTGGTTTTTTTTCACTATCCTTTGTTTTTATAAGACACAGCTACTGTTCTAAGTAAAGGTAAAAAGAAAATCCTACTTGGACTTGTTGTACTCAAACTCTATGTGTAGACAGTCCTCGATGCCCACTTCCATCTTGATGGAGGAGTTGAGTTCAGGGTAGGTGCTGAGTGTGTGAACCACGATGTCCAGCTCTTTGCTGATGTCATTCAGTCTCCGGCTCACTGTCGCCCTCAGGAAGTAGCTGGAAGAACAAAAGCATCACATGCAGCATGTGGGGCTTTCATAAAACATGACTAGGATAGTTGTTTTAAAATGCTGGCTTACATATTTCCTGTTGCAAGAGACCAAAGGGTAAAATAACTTTTGAATTGGCTCCTGTAGACCTTTAAAGGTCCCATATTATGCTTTTTCTGGTTTTATCTGCTCTTTAGTGTGTTTTCCAAGTGTCCTGTGCATGTTTAGGCACATCTATGTGCAAAAATTCAAAGTCTGCGGAAACGCAGCTTCTCCTACGTCCTCCTGTTAGCTGTAGCATTAGCTGCATGTAGCGCTCAGTTCTAGCCCCCCTCGATAAAAATGTGTCAGTCTGACATCATTGTCAGTGTGAGATCACTGATCTAAGCCCATTGGCTCGTTGTGGCAAGCCCTGCAGCTCATGTTGAAATTTCCGAGAAGCGTGCTGAGCAACTGACCAATCAGAGCAGACTTGGCCCACGTGGGGTCTAACAGTGTGGGCTCAACAGAGTGTAGCTGACGGACTCAGAGCGTAGAGGGAGCAAGGAGGAGCAGTACATGAAAACAGACACTTTTTTCAGACTTTAGCTATTGTGAACGTACAAAAGTAGGAACATAGATTAAATATATGAACCCCAAAAGGGCAGAATATGGACTCTTTAATTGGACGTGACATGTGAGGCTGCAACGTCATCTTTGAGGGCAAACGCACCCGTCCAAAGTACATCAACCCAAAGCGTTGTTTTTGTTACTGACATGTCTTACAAAATTTGAAAAAGATCCCTTCAGAGAAAGGGTTAAAAACTGTTTATCACTCTTTTTTAAAGCCACCAGACTCCACTGCCACAAAAACAAACACTTTTATTAGACTTCAAACAGGCTCGTTTGCCCAGAAAGACTACGTAGCAGCCATTAGGGTTCTCACTATACCTGAATTTTAGACTTTGGTGAAATACTGGTGTAAGAGCCTTATTGCTCATCATGTTAAATGTATGGATGCATGTAATAATTTGTGTTCATTGGATCTGGGAGGGGGAGGGGCTTGTGGACTTCATTGGGCTTAGTTCAGACTAGTAGAGAGTGGAGCCACACAGTCTTTTGACCTCTCTCTTTTTGTATAGTTTTGGATTAACCTGTATCTGTTTTTTGTTTATTTTTGTTTAAGTAAACATTTAAACTTTGATCTTTTGGTCCTGTGGATTTTTTTGGATGAAAATTACGTAAGAGAGGAGTTTTGGGAGCGTCAAGCTACGGCTTCATTCAGTGGATACCTACAACTGGTAAAATATTGAACGGTATCAATACCTGTTTCGTTACCACGGCAACACAAATATAATTCCTAGGCACCCAATATTTAGCAACTTTTTTAAGGAGCAATTGCAAGCAAACTTCATACACTGGCAACTTTTTGGTCTGTCACATGCTCTGCTCTGCATCTGTTTTTAAATGACAGTTTATAGTGTGTGTGAGAAATTCCATCCAAATCCATTTTAACGATCCATCATGCACAGCACGCAGACGGCACACAGCAGATCTTACCGTAACTTGACGTTCTGACCGGTGTACGCCTCGTAGGGTTTCTCTACATGTGTGAACTCAAAGTCGAATGTCTGCGACTGTGTGAGCTCTCCTGGTCGAGCCAAGTCTTTCACAAGAGACACAAACTCATGGTGGTTCCCTCTGTCGTAGTACAGCTCTAGAGAAAGACACAGTAACAGAGTCAGACAGCTACACTGGAGCAGGTTTCAGATAGACAGTTCAATGCTGACAGCTGCAAAGATGTACGATTTGATGTGATGATGACAGGAGGAAACTGTTCATCATCTGAAGAAGGGGATCTGTTTGTTCATACACTGCTTCTCTCAACATCGACGTGACTCTGCTATGTGTCGACCAAACTAAACACTTGAGTTTCTTTTAATTAGACCAACTCTGAGGCCGCCATTCTGCCTTTCATTACCTGATCTAAAGTGTAAAAAAAGTAACTTGTCTCCTTACATGCTTTTATTTCTATCTTTATTATTCTAAAAGTGGGATGATGAAAATATCAAAACACATTTATTCTTCAAGGATCTAACTTAAAGGAAAAGAAAAATACCAGGAAGGATTTTCTGCAAACTCATCATAGAACAGTAAACCTTAAAATAAACTGTAACATTATGTACGTTTCAGACAATATAAAATAAAACACACTGAAGCTGGTTGGTGTCAATGAAGGGTCTTCTTTCTCACTAGGGTCAGGTGGGCCCTGAGGAGGATTTTACACAGCAAACCTTTGTGCTATTTGTTATCCACTTCAAGTCATGATTCTATTTTTAAAGAACTTTAACACAACTAAAATTAACTCTGTGCAGCTGACCTTAACCTCTAGAAGAGCCACTGCCTGAATGTTTCCTGGAGTATTAAATCTACAACCAAACCAGGATGTTGATAATCAAAAGTGCTGACTAACAGTTTTTGTGTTACTGGTGAAACCTGAATTCCAGAAGTAAATAAATACAAACTCAAACCAGAGAAAGGACTAAAGCATGGTAACAATACTCAATTACTGGTACAAGTCCTGGCACGACAAATACTCATGTAACGTTTAAGAACCTCATACGTACAGTAATTCAGACGATTATGAGGAACCAGAGGCCGTATAACATATCAGTCCCTGTCAGTCTATAATCAGGCAGATGTGGGTCTAAGACTTTTGAGCAGTTTGAGGCATGTATGGTATGACAACTTAAACAAATATTAAAAACAGGGTCTGGGTCCAACCTGGGGCTCCTTTCCTGCATGTGAATAGCCTGAGTTCTAAATGATCAAATAGAATACCTACAGCGCGACGCTATGTCAATGTTTAGCCAGATAATGGCACATAGCTAGCAATAAATGAAAACGTTATGTGACAATGAAAGATAAACATAGCTTTGATTTAATTAGGATTAAGAAAAACAACCTCCTGAGTAAAGTCGCATATTCATATTCAAAGGACTACTTTTATTGAGGGCTTAAAATTACATAAATCGTCCCTGTATTGATATTTCTCTTTGATATTCAACTTACCTAAAATTAGTACCTCGAATCATCTAAACATGAATGACAAACAATCATTCAAAATGAAAAATTAACAAAAGACCAGCATTAAAAAGAACTCAGTCATGGCCCGTTTTTGAAATCACATTGTACTTTCTGTTAGATGACCCAAATTAAACAGTTCATCAACAGAACACACACACACACACACACACACACACACACACACACACACACACACACACACACACACACACACACACACACACACACACACACACACACACACACACACACACACACACACACACACACACACACACACACACACACACACACACACACACCTTGTTCAGGCAACAATAGGTGAAAAGAATACAATACAGTAAAGTAAACCAAAACAAGTCCAGACTTAACAAACTCCTGTGTAGTACAAACACCTCTCACCTGAGCTTCAGCAGACTGCAGACAGTAATTCCTCACACTGCTGAATTCAACCTCAGTTATATTTTGTCTTTGCGGGAATCATGCATCAGAAATGTTTTTAAGTTGCGTAATTAACAACAGCAACTTTAATTTGCAACCTAATTTATATTAGTTTATTATTATTTTTATTTTTGTATTTCTATCCCGCCAGAGCTTCTCAACTTTTAAATGGAATAAAAACAGGGGTCAAAGGTCACGGAGGACCAGTTAGCCAATGGCTGATGTGTCACGGGACGTTAGCTTGCACCCACATCTGTCACCTGACACTTCTGACACTTGTTACGTCACCTCAGCGGACTGTAGTTTAGAGTGTTTTACACGGTTCTTCTTCAGATAAATGTGATATATAAACTACACAGTGTTTTACAGTCACTACATTAAGCTAGCACAACAACACCTCCTGTCACACTTTGGCTCCTTCAGGCCCCGACAACAGCTCACCTATCTGCCCGATAAACTCGATCTTGATGCCGTTGTGCTCCAGCCTCTTCCCCGGGTACTTCAGCGTAACGTTGACTTTTCCCGACACCGTTTCTCCGTCATAAAACAGAAAATACTTGTCCTTCCTGCCGTCTTCGCTCTTGTGCTCGGCTTTCTTCCTCGTCTCGGCGTCATTTAGGACTATATCGATCTCCGCACTTTGTCCAAAACCGAAGAAGCTCATCGCTGCTGGTCGGTAGAAACCCCTCTCGGTGAATTAAACTCGTGTATTTAACTGTTCACTGTAGTTTGTTGCTCGTTTTGCTGCGAGATGTCCCGGTGCAAACAGCTACCCAGATTATTGAGTACTTCGAGTCACTACCGGTCAACTGCGCATGCGCCAGAAGTCATGTGAAGGAAAGCTGTGTTTATCAAACAAGTGTTGCTTTTCTGTATCTTATTAGACTTTAAACACAAACTGTACTGTCACAACTCATCTTAAATTAGACATGGTGTTAGGATGTGATTATTTTAAAACGCGGATATGTTTTGTAGTGACAGGAAGTCTGCACTTTTTTGGCGCAGTATCAACAGGCGGAAGAAGCAACAGACCCGGTTGATATTGACACTTGCTGCCCGGAGTTTAGACTTTCAGGTGCTCCACTCCTCAGGTATTCAAATATAATTGTACTGCAGTTGTTCAAGTTTCTGATATAAGGTTAATTTACTCACCTGCCACTGTGTCAGGTAGCTGGACAATAAGAAAATCCCAGCGGCCATATTTGAAGGTGTCCTGAAGTTTTGACACCCACAGCAAGTTTATTTATATGTTTGTACGGTTTGTACCCATTTGGAGAGTATAATCGCTTATTTCTCTTTTAACTTGTGACCCCTTAAAATTAACCATGTTTAAATAGACTGCATTAAATATGGACGTAGGCTCAGTGATGTCACCCATTTGTTACTGGAGGGGAGTTTTGATACCTAATAATGGAGGTTGCCATATTGAAAATGCAAACACACATTGGGTGCGTTCGTATTGTCATTTTTGCTTAGGAAGGTTCCTAACTGAGTGAAATGACCCGGAAGCATTTAAGTGGCGGCCATGATAAGAGCCGTTCGAATTCTCTAAAAGTTAAGGAAAGGTGTGTCAGTGCTTCCTTTATAACCTCCTTTAGCATAGGATACACTGGACCATCCTTTATGAAAGGAGATGAGATATGCCGCCCCACAATTCCTTGCGGCTGCAACATTTAAAGCGAGTCGCGCATCTGACCGTTCACGAACATTAACGATGATCGTAAAGTGTCACAGATCATGTAAGAGATAAAAAGATAAGAGACATTTTTATCAGATGATGTTTTATTCAACATATTTCATTCACTTAAGAATGTTTTGTGCAGTTGTACATTTGTATGTTCAAAACATTATGTGTAAGCTATATCTTGCATATGTAACAATTCATTTCATACAATCATATTTATTTTGATGTTGATTTCTGAGTGGACAGGAAGCTGATGGTTTCACTTTTGTTACTTGTAGCCTGGTAGTCTATATTTCTTTTATTTCAATCCCAACCTCGTGGTGATCAGGATTATTTCACCGGTAAGAAGGCACAGGGGAAAGTTTTTTAGATGATTTTTTAGTAGTCCATTTTCTGAACATTGTAGTTTCAACATGGCAGACCCACGTCATTAACCTCCGCCGGCCCGTCACATTTAATGACGTGGAAATGTGGTCGGATTGTCAGAGCAACGAGATGGCCTTTCCCTAAGTCCTTTATGAATTCTCCTGACATCTTTCCTTAACCTCATGACGTTTTCCCCGGGGTTAAGGTAAAGTGGATAGTGAAAGGAGATAGGAGGGACAATTCGAAAGCACCCATTCACTTGTTATCATGGGAATATTGACTGAAATAGAATGGAAGTAGGCTTAATGTAAGTTGTTTTTTGAGATCTTGACTCATTTATCCTTTTCTCTCGGGGTTAGAAACACCGGTTTTCCCTTAATAACGAGTTAATTTCAGTCATGTCTTCTTTGGGCTTCTGTAGAAATGAACCCCAAACAAACAAAACAAAACAAATTCCTGTTTTCTTTTAACATTTTTCAAACCACTTTAAGTCACTGAAATGTTTGATAAATAATATACAAAGGCCAAAGAAAACATACATCAAATATCTCCTTGCTTTTTCAATCTTTGCTCTCTCTTTGTCAGTTTTCCTGATTGCTCCTTTTTGTTGCCGTTGATTTGTTCTTCTTATGAATCTTTTGTTTTCTTGTCTTAAATATTTTTCTAATTCTCCTAATTTTCGACTTGGTGTAATAAAATCTTGCTCCCACTGACTGCTCTCATACGGTGGCCCTGCTCTTTTACCAACATAAAATCAAATACCAAAGACTTTTCCTCAATCAGTTTTAATTTAACTCCCACATTACTTAATTTTCTTGTCCTCAGTAATGCTTCAATTTCTATTATTGCTCTGAACCCTGAACCCTGTTCACACCTACACATTCACACACTGATGGCAGAGGCTGCTATTAAAGGTGACCATCAGAAGTAATTAATCACATTCATACACATTCATACGCCGCTGACGAAGCAGCAGGGAGAACTTGGGGTTAAGTGTGTACCCATGGACACATCACACGTGGCTGCTGGAGCAGGGGATCAACCACCCAACCTTAGGTTGAGAGATGAGCGTCTCTACCCCTGAGCCACAGCCGCCACAGTTCAGTGAGAAGTCTTAAATCCAAACTTTCTGTATGCTACTTTTTTAGCTGATGATTTTCTTATTATAAAATGTGTACTGTAACTATGATGCTGCTATTCTTGGCCAGGTCTCCCTTGAAAAATAGATCTTTGAACACAATGGTACTATCCTGGATTAATAAAGGTGAAATAAGAAATTTAAAAAAATAGCTGAAAAACATCAGTTGCCTTCGTCCATCAAAAAAGTTCTGCTGATTAGTGTGTTTTGGTCTTCAGCATGATGTGAAGTTATTTTGCTAAACTTGACAATCCTGCATAACATGTCCTATTCAGAAAAATAATATTGCAAATGCAAAAACCATGTGTTATGGTATGTAATTCTGGGAAAGCAGTTTATTTTGGGGTCCAAATGACGAGTGGAAAAACAGTCGAGGAAATGCTCCATTAGTTTTGTTCAGGGTTCAGCCATGAGAAGTGATTTAATGACTGAAATTAAATCATTCAGGAAAAACACATCTGGTCAAAGTCTGTCCATTAGAAGTTATTTCCTCTGCTGCCAGGCTCAGATTTTATTCTTGTACTCTCTGAAAATGTTACAGATAAAAGATTTTTACAAAGATGGACCTTAAGATCCTTTATTAAAAACAGAAAACATCTACCGCAGTCTTCTCTTCAAAGCCCCAAACTGCACTGACAAAAACATTCATTTGAACACTGTGATGATGTTCCTTCAACACTAGAGGGCAGAGTCAAATAGCTAAAGAATAAGGAGATCAACCGAGGCGCTTTCCTTAGTTCAACTCCATAAGAAGATTTTTGAACTCCTTGTATCATTTTCTATTATTCAGTTTAAAAATGTCCAAATAAATCCACAGCCCTGTGTGTTTTCTGATGCAACATTTTAATTCTTGATGAGAAGGAAAAGCTTCTAAAACTTTAAACTCTACAAACACTACAAATAATTTTGGCTAAAAAAAAAAAGTAATTACACTGCAAAAAAAAACACTGCAAAAATGTATTCTTCCAATTTCAAAGATAAAAAAAATGTAATTACACTCATTATAAGCCAAAACAACAAGTTCAAATGAACATCTCATTTCAAGATATAACAAGGAAAAATAAGGTCTGATCTACTTGTAATAAGTAAAAAATCTCTCAGAAATATATCTCTGAAATATATCTCTGAAATATAATCCTTTTTTAAAATCTTATGTTTGAAATTTTTTAGTGTAGTCTGAATGTTTCCCCGATCATAATGTTACTGACTTAGCATTTATTCATTTTATTCAGAAGCTATGACGTTTTTTTTTCTTCTGAAGAAAAAACATTATTTGTATTAAATGATACTGATATTTGATGAATGGTTTCTTTTTGAAGAAATTATCCTTTGGTTTTGGTTCTGGCTAAATTGATGAAGCTTAACAGAAAAAACAGGTAGGAAGAAATAAGCTTCGGGCTAAATTTCATCCTACAACTTTTTTGAACAGATAGAGTGAAATAGAGTCTAAGCTTTATTTATTTAGGACCTTCAAACAAAACGAGCATTTCAATGTGCTTCACAAAAGAACAGACAGAGAAGAACAGAGATTGAAAAAAGAGATTAAAACAATAAGGAAAGGTAATAACATAATAAAGAAGATAACATTAATCTTAAATCGATATAAATGAAATAAGGGCTGCATGGTGCAGACATGCTTGTTAGGTTAAGTGGTGACTCTTAATTGTCTATAGGTGTGAATGTGAGTGTGGCTGGTTGTCTGTCTCTGTATGTCAGCCCTGTGATCTCGACCAATGACAGCTGGGACCAGCTCCAGACCTCGACCTCTAAAGGGAAAAAGTGGGTGAGGGATGATTAAAATAAAATAAAATAAATAAATAAATAAAAGGAAAAAATATCAGTAAATTAATAACACATGGTAAAAAAGTTGACCAAGATGAAATAAAACCGAGATAAAAAAAAGAAATGTAAAAACAAAAAAGTAAGAAGTAAAATCACTCCTGATTGAAGCCAGATTAAAAAGGGAGGTCTTCAGTTCACATTTAAAAAACACCCAGAGAGATCTCTGTTCTGATGTCCAAGGGCAGTCAATATGCAGTGATTGTTATGTCTTCTGCCTCTATATCCAATTTGTTTCAAACAAATGAATAAATACGCCTATACATAAAAAACATAAACAAAAAACAAACAAACAAATAATTTTGTTTTAAATCTTTGAACATCTTTTCATCTCTTGCAAATAGAAAAATAATAATCTTCTCAGCCTCTATGAAGCGACCTCCTCCTACATCACACACATATATTCAATACATTGTGTGTGTGTTTGTGTATGTGTGTGTGTGTGATTTAAAAGCTCATTACACACGTCCTCTGGGTTCAGATCTTCATAACTGAGTAATTATTTCCAGTGAGTTATGGAAACAGATTACAATGATCGTCCGTTTGTGAACAGTTTGATGATCAGACCTGACAACAGTTTAATGACTCCCCTCAGGCTCTTATGTTACATGAACCGAGACGTAACCACATTCTTTCATAACAATGACTCACTTTGGAGAGAGAAAAAAAAAAAGTCTAAATTTGTCTCTCAGAGCGTGCTGTGTTGCCTGAGCGTCGTATGGAGAGACTCCTTCTCGTGTTTGGACAAATCAGCTCAAACTTTAACAAACAGAGTCCTCGCAGCTGT